TGTGTAACTGCCTCGAGGGTGCTTGACCATTACAACACAACGTGGTGCGATTAATCCCCCTTGCGCGGAGTGAGGCTTATCCACCCCGCACAACATGATCTACTCGACCACCATTATGGTTACCGCCAAAAAAAAAAACGGAGGTGAAAAAAAAAAAACGGTCATCTGGTTGCCGAGATCGCGAAGTGATCGGCTTTTTTTACAATGTCGTTGCCAAGCGACGAAAACCCAACCCCGATGGCAAACACCGGGGGGGGGGGGTTGTTTTACAACGTCGTTGCCAAGCGACGAAAACCCAATCCCGATGGCAAACACCGGGGGGGGCGGCTTGTTTTACAACGTCGTTGCCAAGCGACGAAAACCCAACCCCGATGGCAAACACCGGGGGGGGCGGCTTGTTTTACAACGTCGTTGCCAAGCGACGAAAACCCAAACCCGATGGCAAACACCGGGGGGGGGTACAGGCGGGAGGGGGCAAAAAGGAAGCGGGGCAGAGTGTCCGAGCAGGAAGGGTTACAGGGACGTACAGGCAGAAGGAGAAAGTGAGAGTGGGGGGCGAGAGAGCGAGAGAGCGAGACAGACAGACAGACAGACAGATAGAGAGAGAGGGAGGGAGAAGAGAGGAAGAGACAAGCGGACACAGACGGCGAGGGTACGGAAACCTCCGTGCAACAGAATCACCACCAGTCAGCAGGTCGGCGGTGCAGCAGCAGCAGCAACCACAGGAAGGGGCTTCACTAGAGACCTTCGTTAAGCCAAAACACACACTGACTGGCTGCTACACGGAGCGCGGCGACGTCGCCATCATCCGTAGGTCACAATCATACTCTCAGTGCCCCNCCCCCCCGTCACCCCCCGTCACCCGAAAAGAAAGCAGTGTCTGACCTGGTAGGATACCAGCAGCTCTCCCGAAGAATCGCCGGGTTTCTCCAAGAAGAAGGGCATCCACGTCGGGAGAGGGGGGTAGGGGATGTTTGCCTCGTCCATCTCAATGGGGCAGCCGCCGAGGTCGAGGAACATGCAGCCCGCGTAGTCGTTCGTGTCGAGCGGGTCCCAGTCCATCAGCTGGATGCTCACCTGCAACAAGCACACAAACGGAGCGACGCGAAATCAATGGTAGCTAAGATCGACCCCATTTCGTTGGTAACCCGGTTCGCGTGGTTGACGGCAACGCAAGAAAAATACACACGCGTTCGCAGACGAACACACTCGCACAAGAGTTTTCGCCTTTTTTTAAGCCGCAGGAGAAAACGTACTTTAATTGGTCGGACGGTCAGCGCGGTTGATGTAGAATTGAACAACACTTAGGCGTGGGCACATACGCCGTTTGTTGACCCGCTATGCATTAAGACTGACCAATCATCGTCGGCCGGTTACTGCAGCTGGCTAGTGGAGCGCAGAAAAAAAAGCTCACTATGTATGCATACATGAGATCTCAAACATGCGTGCAGTTTTCTTCATCTGCTACCGTTGTCTGTCTGTAACCCGGAGAATAGACTAGCCTGCCGCATTAACCCCCTCACGGGGTCCAAGATCACGGCCTCAACACGAGCGTTTCCCGCTTCTAGCCGCAACGAGGCTGACATATTTTCTTTGGTCAGCCGGTTAGCGCGGTCGACGCTAGCAATAAAACATCCACACGCTGAGACTGACGTCTTTTCCTTGGTCAGCCGGTTAGCGCGGTAGGTGTCTAACAACAAAGACACACACACACGCTGAGATTGACGTCTGTTCATTCCTCAGCCGGTAAATTAGCGCGGTCGATGCTGCAGTAATAACAAAGATACACACATGACACACCTGGGGGAAGTATCTCTGCAGCTCGACGGAGGGCAGGTTGAGGTCCGCCTCCCACGTGAAGTACCACATGGGGTCGACCGTCTCCCTCCTGCGGTGTACCGCCTTCCCCAGGTACATGAACTCCTCCGTGTTCAGCTTCTCCCCCTGGCACTGCATCTTCAGGAAGGGGTCCATCAGCCCGTTGTTGTCGGCCGCCGGCAAATCTCGTCCCTGTTTTTTTTTTGTACAAGCAAAGGACGCGATAGATACACAAGTCCAAGTCCGTTCGCCATTTTTGAGTTGGGACGCACAAGATGACAGGAAGTTTTGGGCTTGGTCAGTGGTGTTTGGCTCAGGGCCGTAAGTTAGTCCTATCGTGGGGCGTACGCGAGGTAGGGAGTCGATCAAACCATTCATCCAAAGAGAGGAACAGGTGGAGGAATTTCTCCCGCCGAGCCATGAGAGAGGGCGGCTGACGAACCTTCCGTCAGACCGATGTACGCGAACGGGACGGGATGGATGGATGGGTCCGGCTGGGGTCACAAGCGTTGTTACAGCTACAGCTACGTATGCAATATGCAATGACCCGCCCCCCCACAAACTATCTAACCCCCTTCGATCCGGTGTACATACGTGCACGACAGAATTGGAGGAACAGCAGCAGTACCTTCCAGTATTTCGTGTTGCTTCCTCAGCTTCGAGGTTCCTGGCCAAGCACCAGCACAGCCATGCTGAACCCCTCACCCGGCTTCACATGTGGTACCATTAATACACACGCAAACGAGAGTCCCCCACCCCCCATCGCAGAAAGAGCCCAACCCCCGCCTCTTCCCCCCGTATCAGCAACTATCAGCACAATTCTCACCTGGTAGATGTGCACGCGAAGAAGGTAGGACGTTCGATCCCGGAGCTTCAAGGCCTCCGCCTGCCACTCGGCCGCCGACTCTGAAAACTGTCGGAGGGTGCCGAGGCCAAGCTTGATCAGCACGGACCCGGGGTATTGTCCGTGGGGGAGGCCATCCAGCACCTGAGAGGAGGAGCGGTGCGCAAGGGCAGCGTATGACTTTTGTAACAAAAACAGAAGAAAAAAAAAGTAATGAGAACAAGAACAGCAGTGCAGCAGACCGAAGCGTAGCAACGCGTGGGAAAACGAAAAAAAAAAAAAGAAACACCGCCGTGATTCGTTATGGGTCCGCGGGGAGGCGGGAAAACGCCCGAAGTATCAATAATAGCTTCAGACGGAAATGAAAGGAAAGCAGTAGTTTACCATATGGTACGAGGGGGGGGCTTCACGCGCGACATTCGGAACACCAACGGGGTGCAACGCAACACCCGGGACAGAGCATGTGCAGCGAAAAATCGTGCAACAGTCCTGCCCCCGCTCCATACCCCTCCCCTGCCCCCGCTGCGAGAGGCTCTTTCGAGTTTCGAGATTCGTTCACCACTGTTGCACTGTTGCTGCTGGTTCGTTGGTCACCTTATCCTCTCCGAGGAGCAGCCACCGGGGAGATATACCTTCCATCCCCTTCTCAAGCAACTCCTTTGCCGGGATCCGGGAGAAGCAGATGGGAACCTTGTCTTCTCCCTATTTACCACGGTTGTATGCGTAGTTTAGCGCGGTTTTAATTTGTCCCGTGGGATGAGGGAGGAACGCAGGCAGGAGCGTCAGGGCGAACGGGGATGTACGTAAATAAAAAGACACGATGTACTGTATGGTCCGGTGGAGGTGTATCGGCAAGTGAGATACATGGTGACGGGAAGAGAGGAACCACGGGACAAGAGACAGAGCGAGAGAGAGACAGACAGAGAGACAGACAGAGAGACCGAGAATGCAAGGTTTCAAGGGGGCCGAAAGCAAGTCCGCTGACTAAAGGAAAGCGACGACCACAAGGCCCGGGTCACATCACGTGTGTCTGTCTGTCTCCTCGCTGCTATTTAGCGGCCTGGGGTGAGTGGCGGCAACACAGCATTGAACTCTCGTCAGCATCGTCGTCGCCGCAAGCCAAGGCCTCAAATTGCAACCGCAAGAGACACGGAAGGGGCGTGCCTACAGATGTTATCGTTCTCAGAAACCTGACGAAAGGGCAGTTCACACGAAAAACCAAGCACATGCTTTAATCTTGCATCTCGTCTCTCTTGGTTGTGTCCCCCTTCTCCCTCAATACCCACAGTAGCTAGGATAGCTCACCCGTTGAAGGTGCACAATGGCGTCGGGCATCTGGTCGGGGTCGGACGGTAGCACGACGGGCTCCTTGCTCTCCAGCAACTCCCCCCACTGACAACAGCAACAACAACGACAAAGAAACACAACATCACCTACAAGGACAGGGTACAAGTGTGAACGACCACAGATAGCAACATCATCATCAACAGCAACAACAATGTTTGGGTGACAACAACAACAACATCAGCATCAGCATCAGCATCAGCAGCAGAAACAACATGCTTCCTGCGACGTCTCCGCCGGCAGAAGACGTTCAGAAAGAGCAGCCAAGCCAAAACTCCGCCACTCCCCTTCCTTCCGGGCCGAAGGTAACCTCGACATCGCAAACCCTTTCCGTTTCAACACCGTACATCAAACACACACTCATACGTCCCACCTCGCCCCCACAACACTTAACTCTCCCGCGTGGCCTTGTCAACCAACCAACCCCCCCCCCACCCCCCCGCCTGACCTCGCAAACCCCGCTGGCGTTCTCGACCGCCCTGGTTTCTAGAACCTCCGAGCCGATGCTGATCCTGACGGACATCCTGAAGTTGAGGCCCATGCGGATGACCGAGGCCTGGCAGGGGATGTCCGCCCCCGTGGCAACGTAGCACCGCATCGCGACCCTGCTGGTGGAAGGCTCCTTCCTCTTGGGCAATCGGCCCACCTTGCGCCGCCACGGCGTGCTCTATTCATAGGGGGGGGGGGTCGTGTGCGTGTGATTGTTGTTGCGTGGTGTCAAGGACGGGGCTCCTACATTTTTGCATGCCGCAACCTCCTCGAGAGAACGGAGCACTGTTGTTTCCAAAGGACCGATCACAGATGGCCGATCGCTCCGTTCTACTAGGCACACGGTGGCTCAAAAACGATTTCCTTATCCCATCCCATCTATCCTATCGATATCCCTTCACGAGGGAGCGGGGGCTCGTTTGTGGACGACGGGTGCACGCGTGGTCGTTGTTTCATGCACCGTCGTAGGAGCGTACAGGACTGCTCTAATATCATAGGAGTATTGTGCAAGCTAGCACATAGAGTTCAGGACCAAGCCTACCACTACCCATGCGACAGTAAAGCCCAGATGCTCGTGTACAACAATCCCACGCCGTCGTTCTGCTATGGGGTGCAGACAGTTGCTCTTGCGCAACGCAGCGCCCACTGCGTCCAAAACACCATGGTTTCGCTCGCGCTACCCGCAATCAAAACTTGAAAAAAATGTCCACTCCCATCGGAAAGATAACTAAGGATCATCGGGAGGAGAAAAAAAAATAACGGGAAGGGGGACACTCTCTGCAAATAGAAAACATTGTTTCTTTGACGCCAAAATAGCAAACAATGAAAACGAAATCGATAGGAACTGACCTCTTCCCTCCCTTTCGGAAGGCTTTCTCTTATCTCCCTTGAAAGAAGCAAACGCCCCCGGTAAGTAGACCCCTTCTGCGGCAGGTTGTCGTACAAGGTTCGCCAGTTCGTAGTCGCCTGCACGGGACGGATAGGGGG